ATTTTTCCTTATACAAGATGAGAGACTAGCATGCTATTTATAAGAAAAATAACACACTAACCTAATGGGTTTTTTAACAATTACCCATTACAAGCTAACTTAGGGTACAAGCTAACTTAAACAATTGGGCTTACAAGCAATGCTCAATTCAACATGCTAACATACCTAGCAATATTGACTAATGCATGTTAGAACAAACTTTCGACTACAACACGCATTACTCCGACAACATACTAGAGTTCGATCCAATATCTCACAACTATATACAAGTTAGTGATGAAACATGTAATTTTATTTACAAGTGATATGAATATTGTAATTTAATCGGGGAATCCCAACAAGTATGTACAAGTTTGTTTTTTCTTTGTTTTTTTTTTAATTTGAAATAAAAAAACCTAAACTAAAAAATAAGAGACAAATTTTGATTTAAGTGATATAAAAGATATTTTTTTGTACTTTTTGAATTAAAAGAAATAATAAAGTGTATTTTTTATTTTCTTTTATGAAAGAAATATTTTAGGTACTTAGAGTGAAACTTAGACTTAGACAAATAGAAAAATCTAGTAAAGAACCGTCTTTGAATATTTGAATAAAAAGACATTTTTGTATTTTTAGCGAAGAAGAATATTTTTGTACTTTTAGAATTAAATTGAGTGAACTTAATTTTTTTTGTGTGTTTTTCTTAATTTAATTAAAATGTCCTAATAATAACAAGACAAGTTTTTTTTTTTGTGTTTTGCATTTTTTATTTTTAATAAACAAATCAAACTAAAAAAAAGTGAGAAACTATAATTTAAAAAATAGGACATTTAATCGTTTTTATGTTTTTTTTAAATATTTTTAATGTAATAAATCATTTAACTAAATAAATTAAATTGTATTTTTTGGTATTTTGACTAAGATTAAAATGAATAACATTATTTTAATTTTTTAAAAGACAAAACATTAAGACTCATCAGGAGTATTGCTTAAGTTCATTCAAATATTAAAAAATAAATTCACAAGATAACATGAACATAAGAATTTAGAATGACCAAATTAACTTCAACTTAAAATCAAACCTATAAACATGATTAAATCTAAAATAATCATCATCACCAACAAAATATGCAAGCTACGAAGAAGGAGAAGCAACCTGGAGTGTCTTGACCGTGTAAGCGGACTTCTCCCTTCTTCTTCTTTTGCATTGTAATTCCCTCTGTTTTTCTAACTTCTCTTTCTTTCTTTTTTTTTTTTTTTTTTTTTGTTTTGCAAAGTACATGTGACGTCAGCATGCAAGAAAGGAGGTTAGGATTTTGTTTTTGGCTAACTTCTCCAATGTGAAGAAACTAATATTTTTTGGATTTCTATTCTGCAAAAAAAAAAGTGGTTTCCTATTGTGATTCTTGTTGTATTTTAAATTGATTTTTTAGGTTAACAAAAAAAGAAAATCCGTTACAGTGACAAATCCCGGCCAATCAAAAGTAAGAATGACAAATTAAAACCAAACACAAGCAAGAATGACACACTGTGAGAAAAAACAAGTATGACAAGTCTTGATTAATAAGAAACAAGAGTGACAAAGAATGAAAAACTTTGACCAATTAGAAACAAAAATGACATATTAGAAAATATTATATATATATATATATATATATATATATATATATATATATATATATATATATATATATATATATATATATATATATATATATATATATATATATATATATATATATATATATATATATATATATATATATATATATATATATATATATATATATATATATATATATATATATATATATATATATATATATAATGAATAAAGTAAATAATAATTAAAAACACCTATTAAAAAAATGAAAATAATAATAAAATATGCATACAATTAGATTTGAACTTGTGCCATTTTGTTTAACCCTTTACCAAACTACCAACCAAGTTATCTTATTGGTTTGAAGTGAAAAGCTCCTTAAAACTATACAAAGAAAACCACGCAAAATTTGGGGTACGACAAGTGTGTATTGATCTTACAAGATACGATTTTTCATAAACTTTTTGTTCCACTACGCACCATACCACCTCAAAATCCAAATGACTGTATTATGTATATTGGATGGCTTTCAAAATCACGACGCTTTGTTCAAGTTTATTTGAAACCAAGATGCCCTATACCACTTACATCAGTGGCGTGGACGGATCATTCAACAACAAAAGTCGAGACTTGTGCATTAATTATATGTAATTGTGTATTAATATTAATAAAGTGTATACAATTTTAAATATTTTAATACATTTTGATCTTTGCCAACAAATTTGTCATCCAAACAAAACACACATGTTTTGTTTTCTTTCTAGATCAAGAGAGGTTTCGGAGATGCATCTTCGGAACAAGAGAATAGGCTGGTATCAAAGAAAAGTTTTACAAACACAAAAAAGATATATAAACTAAGAAAAATAGTGATACGTTTGGTTTATACAAGTTCACCTATAACGAGGCTACGTCTTGTCCACCCGCCAAGGTGATTTCGCCTTCAATAAGGACTTAATCCGCTAATCTTGAAAGATTACAAAAAGTCCGTCTAAGTGTTAGAAAACACCTTAGACCTCTCAAGTATACAGACTAAAACTTATTTACTTGAGGAAAAATAATATCAAAGAAAATAAAAAGAAAGTGTTTACAATGGTGCTTCTGAAAAACAAATGAAACAAATTAAGAGCATTACACAAATATGAGCGACAACTCTTTGTGTTTAAAAAAATACTCTGATAGGATTTTGAGACTGTGCTTTTTCACTCTTTCAATGTTGTTTATTGTTCTATCTTTACAATAAAGTAGTGACCCCTTTGTATAGGCTCAATGGTTGAACGTTGGAGGGTACAAGTGTCACTATCAGTTCCAACTGGCATAACGGTAATCCGGAGAATGTGGAAGACATGAGTAGTAAAGTCTCACAAATATTCCTTAACAATATTAGCACACAATCACTTATTTCCAAATTGGGATTCTACTGTTGTACGAATTCTTTCAGCGTAAGTTTTTTGATCTTATCTTCTGATGGAATTCTTCTGATGGTGAAGTGATGATGAGTTTAGAAGATAGATGTATTGAGAGGTATCAGAGTCTTCAGAGTCAGAAGCTGACTTCACTTAAGTCTTCTTAGAGTTGTTCTGTCAAAGTCAGAAGCGTGATTATCAGCAGAGACATGACAAATCTTCAGAACCCAGAATCTTGACTCCAAAGTTGGAAGCAAAACTTATCTGAGAAGCACACAACTTTATTTTTCTTTAGAGTCATTCAACATTAATCAGAACTGCTGATGTTTCTTCAGAAGCGGTCGAAGTAGTTTCTTAAGGCGTGCGAGAAAAGATTCTGATGAGATTTCTTGAGAGTTATCCAGAATCAATTTAAACTTTATATCTGCACACTTTATAAAATTATTAGAGTACAAAATTGTTACATATAAAATATATGCATTGTTATCATCAAAACTAGAGATTATATGCAGAACCAAAATCTTGTTCTAACACATATTTACAACTAATATAAATATAGGCTCTTGTATCATGTCTCATATAAACAAAAAATGTCGCAAATGAACACTGTCTAGTAAGTCGCAAATGTCTTCTTTTCTAACCCGACACACGTGCAAGAATTTAAGATCAATGAGTACATCCATTTTGCAGGTATGCAATACGAAGTGCAAAATCTCCTACCTTACTATGATAATTGAAAAATTGTGAAACTCGAGTACTGTTTACTGTCAATTAACAACGAAGTCAAGATTAAATTCAACAATTATGAGCTCAAGATAAATATAGATGTAAAGACTATGTGGGATATATTTTTCCGTTTCAAAACAAAAGTTTCAATCGAGGTGGAAGCAACAATTTCAAAATTAGGCGAATATATTATGAAGATTTTGGAGTCTGCCTGGATATTAAAATGTAATGTTTGATTTTATATTAACATCACCTATATAATGTTGATTTTATGTTATAAATAGTAATTTTATTTTATCAAAATATAACTTTCTGATTTTCTGCTAACGCTACCGAGATGCATCTACAGACAGATTACGAAGATGCATTTCCGAATTTTAAAAACTCACACTCCTAGAGTGTGATTCAAAATTTGTGTAGAATGTGTGTTTGAAGTGTGTTTAAAGATAAAACCTAAAATCATTTTTGTATTTTTGTTAGATGCAGTATTGTTGACCACGTATGTATATGTATGGTTAATATAATAGGTAATATATTCTAACAAGAACTACGGATTGTTGCATATGTTAGACCAACTAAATTTTAAGGAGTTAGTGTATGTGTGCTAACTAGAGTGGGTGTGCTAGCTTTGGGTTGATTAGTGTGTAGTTATATTATAAACCAACAGATAAGTGTGCAAATAAAGTAAGAAGGCATGCCCTAGAAGTATTCGAAGGAGTGCATTTTGGTATTACAAACACATCATTACATAAATTTGCAGTGTTTGAAGAAGGATTAGGAGGCAAGAAACTCAAGTAATGATGAATGTTTAGTGAGTTTGATGAATCTAATTCACGCCGGCACCTTTACTCTTTCTTCCCATCTGGCACGCCTGCTCTCTCCCTCTCTCTCAAAGAATAAAAAGTGTCTCTTCTCACTACGCACTTTGTTAATTTTCATCTTTTGTCAGACCCTATTCCTTTTTTAGCATCAGCTAGGCCATTTACTTATTCACCAATCAATCCACTTTCTTTTCTCTCCATAACATACTCCCCTTATTTTCAATAAAGAAAAAGACCATAAATCACCACTCAATACTCCACTTCCCTTTAAAAAAACACCATAATTCATTCTATTTGAGTCACCTCCACCCCACCACTCTCTATCAAAATTTCTAATTCCCATTTCACCCTTCCAAATTAACTTAACTACAATCCAAATTTGTTCCCACCATCATCATTAAAAACACGTTACATGCAATATTGCTATACCTTTGTGTAGATTATTGATGTGGGTCTCATACAACTTAAATGGATACGTTGTTTAGACTTGTCAGTTTTCAACCCCAACACCAACCTCATCAATCTCTCAACTCTACAACAACAACAACATCTAGTAGCTCTCGATCCTCCAAACAAAACTATCATCAATATTACCCTCAACAACAACAAGAAGAATGCTTCAACTTTTTCATGGATGAAGAAGACCTTTCCTCATCTTCTTCCAAACACTACTATCCTTATAATCAACAACCACAAACTTCAATCACTACTAACACCTCCACACCCACACCCACACCCCCACCACCACCTCCAACTGATCATTTCAGCTTCGAATTAACCGGAAAGTGGTCCCACAACATCCTCCTCGAAACCGCACGTGCCATAGCAGAAAAAAATAGCAATCGTTTACAACAACTCATGTGGATGCTTAACGAACTAAGCTCCCCCTACGGCGACACAGAACAAAAACTCTCCGCGTATTTTCTCCAAGCTTTATTCTCTCGAATGACCGAAGCTGGTACCCGGACGTTTCGAACCCTAGCTTCGGCTTCAGAAAAAACTTGCTCGTTCGAATCAACGCGAAAAACGGTTTTGAAATTTCAAGAAGTTAGTCCATGGACAACTTTCGGCCATGTAGCTTGCAATGGCGCAATATTAGAAGCCTTAGAAGGAGATTCCAAGTTGCATATAATTGATATAAGTAATACTTACTGCACTCAATGGCCTACGCTTTTCGAAGCGTTGGCGACTCGAACCGACGACACTCCGCATCTCCGTTTAACCACGGTTGTAACCGCTAGTGGTTCAGTTCAAAAGGTTATGAAGGAAATTGGTGCAAGATTGGAGAAATTCGCTAGACTTATGGGAGTTCCGTTTAAATTCAACGTTATTCATCACGCCGGTGATCTTTCCGATTTGGATTTTTCCAGTTTGGATATTAAGGATGATGAAGCGTTGGCGGTTAATTGTGTTAATACTTTGCATTCGATAAGCGTTGGTAATGGTAATGGTAACAGTAACGGAAACCGTAACAGTAACTGTCGAGACGCGTTGGTAGGTTCGTTGATGAGGTTGCGTCCGAGGATAGTTACTGTGGTTGAAGAGGAAGCTGATTTGGATTTTGGTTTCGAAGGATTTGAATTTGTGAGAGGTTTTGAAGAGTGTTTGAGATGGTTTAGGGTTTATTTCGAGGCATTGGAAGAGAGTTTTCCGAAGACGAGTAACGAGCGTTTGATGCTGGAAAGGGAAGCGGGGAGAGGGATAGTTGATTTGGTGGCGTGTGCTCCGGCGGAGTCGATGGAACGGAGGGAGACCGCGGTGAGGTGGTCGCAGCGTTTGCATGGTGGAGGGTTTAATACGGTGGCGTTTAGTGATGAAGTTAGCGATGATGTGAGAGCGTTGTTGAGAAGATATAAAGAAGGGTGGTCAATGACGCCGTGTAGCGACGCCGGAATATTTCTGACGTGGAGGGAACAACCGGTGGTGTGGGCCAGTGCATGGAGGCCTTGACACTCGCACGTGTTTGTAGTTCTTTTAGCACGTGCGTAACTGGAAACTTGGTTTTTTTTCGTTTAGTATTTGTGATTTATTTTCAGAGTTTACCAAAGCAATTTGCATGTATTGATTAATGAAAAAGGAATCATAACCTAATTTACTCTCTCTTTTCTTATTATTTCGAAATTTTTTTAATATTAGGAAAATATTAATTAGTTGTGATGGTCATACTTATTTCTTTTTAAGTTTATCATAAAAATTGGGACCATTAGGACCTTTTCAATAACCTAAGAAAATTAGTAGTAATAAATTATCTAGTGGTTGTGAATTTGTGATATTGATAATTAATCATTTTATTGTTCTTAATAGTATAGTATTAATTTCTGGCTAAAATAACTAAATGTCACAATCCAAGTATATAGGTTTCCAAGCACATTATTGACCAGGTACATGGTTGTTGATGATTAATAAAGTAATTAATTGAATTATAGTTAATCTAATTAAGCAATTGGTTGTGATGTATAGATTTGACCAGAGGAGATTTAACAATATAAGGCAAGACATATTATAGTTAAAAAGGACAAGACTTTGATTGGATAATATTTAATGTTTTAGTTTAAGATCATTAATAGTAGCTAACCAACTTATTAGCCTTACTCTACCCTACCATAACAATAATCTTAATTTATTTTCCTAAATTTGTCCAAAAGAAGATAGCAGAGTTTGGTGTTTTGGTGTGTGAAGATGATATCAGCTTTATTAAGACATTACCAATATTGTATTTTCAGGAGTTTATTTAATTAGTGCTATAAAGTAAGTGAAACTACACATGTCCATAAATCAGCATAAAATGAAGTCATTATCTAGTTTATGGGCACAATCGAAATAGAATCTTAGGACGGCCATCAAGTTGGGTTAGTGCTTTAGGGAATATAATTTCATTAAAAGGTGTATAGTTTTTTCATTGAGTGGCCAGCAAGGTGCCTTTGAAATGGTCTTTCTTCTTTTATACTTTCTTCCATACTTTTTTTAATTCAATCAAGATTTAAATGAATTGAGTATGCTAGTTCAAGTGTCACCGGTTAAGTTACATATAATTTATTAATGAATAAATACTTTTTTTTTAATAAAAATTGTTTATTTTCCAAACATCAAATAATAAATAATAAAGTAAAATAATTTTGAAAAATTTTAAGTAATAAAGTATAATGAAAATATTAAAGTGTTGATAATATAATTAATATTTTAAATTATGAAAAGTAAATAATAAAATTCATAATAATTTAAAAGAGACTGATTTGTGGTTGTACTAGTATTCTTATTACACGATATTTTTTTAATATTTTATAATTGAGGAAAACCTCCAATCGAATTAAAGTGGATTTTTTCTGTCACTCTTATGTTTTAAGATTTTGAAGTAGTGATAAATGTTTATGTTTTGAGCGTGTGCTCTTTTTAATATCTCAAATTTCTGTTAAATATATTTTAAATAGTATTCTCATAAATAGACGACAATTAATCTTTTAAATTAATTGATAGTAAAATCATAAGGTTGAATATCAAGATTTAGAAAGAAAAAAAAACATTTATTTTATAGTTTTGGAACATTGACTCATTGTTGTTTTCCTAGATGAAGTCTATTCCTTAACAGAAATTGGTTTGCAATATATATATATATTCTCATACCATGATCATATGATATTGTATGTCTTTTGCATGGCCCCCACAAAAACCCTGAGCTATAGTATTTGATGGTGGTGAAATAATTAGGTTGGGAGCTCATAAGAGACTCCTTTTTCCAATGAAAGCAAAGTAAAATGCAAGTACTATTCCATTATTAACAATGAAAAAGGAAATAATATGAATAGTGGGTTCATCTTTTAAGGGTTTTGCATATCTTGATGTTGTGATCAGACTTGCCCCCCTTTCACGTTAACATATATACATTATTATCCAACTCTTTTCCATCTTTATTCAAAATTACTATATACAAATTTATTTATATCTAGGTGCTTTCTTTTTTGTGTTTTTTAAAGGTTGTTTGATGTTGGCCCATACCTTCTTCTGCAGGTTTAAGCTTTAGTATGCTTTTTCTATATCAATTGAAATGACAAGGACATTTTTGGTCATGTTTCTTTATGCTTTAATGGGACCAAGCTCATGTAGAAAGCTAACTCCAGTGCATCATTTTTATTTCATTTTTTTTTTCAGGATCTTTGTCTTTCTGTCTCTATTAATCCGTATTGGAAAAGGAAAATTTTCTACTTTCCGACAATAATGGAATAATTTTAATTTGCCGACGAAATAATAAGGAGGACCCAATTTTTGCAATTAAAATTGAATTAAGATGGTATAATTGCGGTCTAAGAATACAAGGTAAGAAATTCAAAAGTATTAAAAAAATTTAAAAAAATAATTTGAATAAAATGTATTCAACTATAATGAAGTAAAACTAGTTTGTTTTTCTTTTCAAATTTAATTGTAAAAGAATTTTCACTTAAATCTATATGCTATGCTATATAATAAATTTTATAATTATAATTATGATTTTTGTTATAATGCTCACCTATCTTACCAACATTCCATTCACCATTTTTGACTTATGCAACGAATCCTATTTTATTTCAACCACTAAGGAAGGAAGAGTGAGTGATTTTATTTTGAATGATGCAGAAGAGAAATAGAAAAGTCAAAAAAGAAGAGTAGAACTCGTCACTTTTTATGATATTTCCAGACGTCTGATTGGCTGTAAATAGAAGTAAGATGAGAAAAATAAGGGAAAGAGAATGTTGAAGAGAGTAATAAAAAAAAAATTTTAAAAAATAAATTAAAGTGTTGTTTGATCTAAGAAGAATATGAGAGAAAGAGTGAAAATAAATGTTTAAAGTTTTAGGAAAGATAAAATATATTTAGTGTAAAAATATATATGATACTATGTATTTAACATCAAGTTATTGGGTTAGAATATACAAGGATAAGTATGGAATAAAAAAAAAATTCTCTTTCTTTTCATTTTAAAAGATATTAGAATTTCTCTTTTTCTTTCTTATTAAATCAATCTAGAGAAATAAAAATATTTCTCTTCATCTTCTCTCTTACCAACTTCTTTCTTCGCCTAAAACAAACACACTCTAAAAATAAATAAAAAATGTTATTTTATTTATATTTTTATATTTATAATCATAAATTTTTTAAAAGTACAATGGTGACAGAACAAGGACCAATCTGCATAATAATTATGAGAGATTATGTTTTTTATCTTTTGGGATTTGTGTCCGTCTATACCTTGGAGGTTTGAGGTATTTATAGAGAAACATGGACTTAGCTAATAATGGATCTCATAACTCCATCATCAAGAATGTGGAGGAAGAGAGAGTTCTTTCTCCCCAGATCGCGGGGAGACAATTTTCCTTCATCTTTGGTATACTTCTACAATTATATACATGTGTGATAAACGAGGGAGATCACGGGTGAGAGACTCAAATCGCATCAGACAACTAGCCACTCTCATTTGGGCGACCATGCCACTTTGGGTAACTAGCTCAGTTTCTATTCCTAGTTGGACTTTACCAAAAGCATATTTTGTCATGGTCATTCCTTATTCATGTTAGAATATTGAATTCATTATTTTTTAGAAAAGACTGTATTAGACACAGATGTGTTCGATCTAGTCAAAGTAATGAGTCTAGTATAAGTTACTTGTATTCGACAGAGTCAAATATAACATGCAATTGTCAGATTATGTAAGCATGCATTCGACTGAGTAGAATGATGCAGCTTGTAAGCTTGTATGTTTTGGATTGCCTAAATATACAGGTAACATTATAAATAACAGAGAAAAACATTCACTTTAATAAAATTTCCTCTTCACGTATAGTTTCTCTCTCTCTCTCTCTCTCTCTCTCTCTCTCTCTCTCTCTCTCTCTCTCTCTCTCTCTCTCTCTCTCTCTCTCTCTCTCTCTCTCCTCCTTCTTCTTCATTATTCTTGAAATTCCAATTGTTCCAACAAGTTGGTATCAACGAGTCCGGTTGCAATTCAGAAAGAATCTGTGATGAAAAACAGTAATACAACATCAATGCAATTTCGATGGGATCTATCGATTTTCAAAAGGGAGAACTACGAGAGGTGGGTTGCGCAAATGAAGGTCATCTGCATGTTTCAAGATGTGGCTGAAATCGTGAATGATGGAGTATCTGCATTGGGAACGAATGCAAGTTATGTTCAGAAGGCTGCACATAAGAAATAACGGAAGAAAGATGGGAAATCTCTTTTTCTAGATTCATCAATGTGTATATCCTAATGTGTTTGAGAAGATCATTAAACAAAAAAAAACTTTTAAAGAAGTGTGGGACAAGTTAAAGGACTTGTACAAAGGAGATGAAAAATTGAAGAGAGTGAAGTTGCAGACACTGAGAAAGAAGTTTGAGATACCACAGATGAAAGAAGATGAATTGGTTGTTGATTTCTTCTCAAAATTAGTGTTACTCGCGAACCACATGAAGGTGTATGTGTTGGCTGGGAATTTCGACGTCAAGCTTTGTTTAAGAATAATAAGCAAAGAGCAAGTGTTTCTTGAGTTTTTACTGAATTCGGCAGGAGTATATACAAAGGTCCTAGTCAAAGAGGTCTTCATGAGAATGACATGCTGGAAAAATACTTAGAAATAATTTTTAAGTTTGGATAGTAAGTCCGACGGAGGGTGTACAAAGCTCTCTTTGGACAGGAGTTTTGAATTTCAAAATACAGATAATAATTGTCTTTTGTCCTTACCAGTTTCTTAGAAAAGACGAGTGGAGAGTTGTGGCTGAATAAAGACATGTAGAGAAAAACGTGTTATTTTTAGGAGGAATGTTCGTTGAAGAGAGTTATTTTCGACATGTTATAAATAGAAGTCTTAGTGTTTAGGATTTCCGCGTGTTCAATTATTGTACAATACTCATAAAATCACTCAAAGTATCTAAGTTAATTAAGAAAAGAGTTGTTATTGAGAATGTACGACTGAAACATCATCTTT